AAGGAGTATATAATATTGATGATTACAAGGAAGATGAAATAGAAGACAAGGTGTCTTCTTTAGACAGATTAAATAAACTAGTTACCACTACTACTGGAGGTTTCGGCAGTTTTGATAAAATTTAAATTAAAAATATACTTTTTTAAAGGAGATTTTGTAACATTAAAAAATTTATTAAAAATATTTAAAAAAATAATTTATAAGTACTTGTATAACACATAAAAAGATTAATATATTTCTAGTTTGTTTGTAAAAAAGTTATTAATTCATATAAATACTTAAATTATAATATTTGTTTTAATTTTATAAGGTTTTAAAATAGTTAATGTCACATCACATTGTGACAATACTAAAATGTATTAGAAATATATGTTTAAAAATTTATTTATTAATAAATATCTTCAATATTGAAATATTAATATTAATTATTTGTTTGTAAACAAATAAGCTATAAATAGAAATAATAAATTCTTTACCCCGAAATTTATATGTCTTCACCCAACAGCAATAACTCTACGGGTTATGACAGTAAAGAACAACATATCTTAAATGTGATGATTTGTATTGTGGTTTAAATTTAAGTATTACATTTTAATTTTATTTGTAATTGTAAAATTATTTAAAAAATAAAAACATTATTATTTAGAAAACAATTTAAATCTCAATAATTCTCACCATACAAACTTTTTTATATCGTTTTTTTAACTTAATAAAAATAAAATAAAAATTTTTTCATATTTTTGATTCATAACAAAAATATTTTTAAAAACCTTAATGTCAATATTAGAAATTAAAGTATTTGATTCTATTGACTTATTAAAAACTCTTGATAAATTATTTGGTTTTTAAGAACGATTTTCTTTTAATTTTAAACAAAAATATAATTTACCCAAATTAGATAATAAGTTAAAAATTCTTTTACTTCATTTAAATCTTCTTGAGACTATAATTTTTTAAATATCTCATAAATTAAAAACTTACGTTTAATTGATTATTTGACTAATTGTTAAATACTTTACAATTTAAAACATGAATGTTATATTTATTTAATTTTTTTATCTTTAATCCTTCTATAAATAAATTTTCTAATGGAATGTAAATTTTATCAACGTTTAAATAAAGATATAATAATATTTTATTTTTATTAGTAACATATTAATTATAATTTAATAAATTTGAAAGTGATAATCTTAATTTATCATAAAAAATATATTCTTCATAACTTTCCAATTCTTATTAATCTTCATTAAAGTATTCAGTTATAGTTTTAATATTAAAACAATTATCAACAATTTTTATTAGACACATCAATAATTATATGTTCCTTCAACTAGATAAATGATAAATCGTGGTTTAAAAATGATTTTTTTTAAAAAAACTCTTTTTTGTTAAAGTTAATTTGAATAATTTAGATTAATGATAAACTTAATGTTATTCACGAATTTATTTAAAGAATTAGTCATAACATTTCATATTCAAAGTTAAATTCCATAAAATATATTTTTTCTAAAAAAATTATTTATAAAACCTTTAGATTATTATAAATTAATAAAATTTTTAAACATTAAAAGATAATATCATTGAAATATTTTATATTAATTATTCAAAATTTAACAATATAATTACTATAATGTATGTTAAATTAAATCATTGTTTTTTAATATCGTACAAAAAAATATTTAAAAAATTATACTCGGATATTAATTTTAATTAAAAATTGATATATATGAGATGGTTAACGTCACATATTTGAAACAAAACAGTTTCAAAAGGAATATGAATTCCGAATTAGGTAAATAAAATATAATGATCAAAAAGGATTTTAATTTAATAAAGCAACAGATAAAGGTAGACAGGGCAATATAATAAGAAAGTACAAATTAAAACTTTTAACTAGTTTGTATTGTAAAAAATTATTGAAAAACATGTAGATATTTAAAAATAAAGTCTTTCTTACTTTTTAAAGAAAATTGATTCTTTAATATGATAATTTAAAGTTACAGTTTAATTAATTTTTCATCATTGTACACTTCTAAAGACTTTAATATGCTTAACACACATATTTGGGTCCAACTTAAATAAATCAATGATTAACTTTATAAATGACATCTCTTTTCTAAAAAGTAATTTGTTATCATTTACATCGTTTGAAAGTAAATCTGAGTATTGCACATCTTGGTTTTTAATAAAATTTTCTAAAAAACCTATTTCTTTTAAAATTGGATCAGAATACATTACATTAAACACTTCAAATGAATATTCAACCTCCTGATCTCTGTTAAAGTGGTATTTAAATCCATTTTTTGTAAATTTATCTTCAAAAATAGAATTTTTTTCAATATAATGCAATTGTTGTAAAAAATTTTTAAATTTTTCCTTGATAATTACAAATTTTTCAGTAAAAACCTGATCTAGCAATTCAATGTCTGTTAAAAACATATAAACAGTATTTTGAAGAGAAATTGAATTTTTAGAAACAAAAGAACCATTAAATATCCACGATAATTCCATTAACCTAAAAAAATGGTCTTTTTTCAATATTAAATATCTATTCAGTTTACATAAAGATAAAATACATTTAAAAAGTTCTTGAATATCTAAGAAATTTTCATAATTTTCTAATTTTTCACAATAGTTTAAAAATTCAGAGTCATTCTTCGCTTTAATTATATTTTTCATTAATAATAAGTAAACCTCAAATTTCTTAAGTACTTGCACACAATCACTATCTTGATTTAAATTAGATTTTTCAAGTAATAAATTAAAATCATTTTTAATTATTGCTGTAGTTTGTATTAAATCTGTTATCGAAAAATACATTTCATACTCTTCACTGTAAAAATATCTTCTTCCCCCATTGATAAAATCAAATATATCCAAGTAATTAAATGAAATTGATGGTAATATGGTTATTGTTCCAATAAAATATGTTGTTTCTGATTCAAATTCAGCATACACTTCGCTTGTAGTATTTTCATTTGTTTCTAAATATTCTGATAAATTTGGATTTATAATTGGAATATTAGAAGGATTTATTTCTTCACAGTTTACAAAAAATGAATTTCTAAGACAGGTTTTTAGTGTTTTATTACTAATTATAAACAATGATATAATCATGGGTTAAAAAACAATGTTTTTTAAATTTTAATTTAAAAAAATGAAATGACAGATTTTTGATCGAGAAAACTTTATTTTTTAAAAAGTTATTTAAATTAATAGAAAATACACTTCTTTTTATTATAATTTTCTTATCCTTCAAAATAAATGAAGAAATATTTATGTATAAAATTTATTTAAAAAAATTATTTGAGATATTTGACATGTAAAATTTTTAAAGAATAAATTTTATTTAAATTATAGAAATTAAGCATAAAATTAGTGAAATATTTAAATATGATAGAGATGAGTTATTTATAGAGAGTAGGCTCTTACATAAAAATATAGACGAACTTGTGGATTAATGAAAAAACTAATAAATATTGTTCTAATCATTCTTTATTTATATTTAACTGTCGTAATAATTGAGATTATTAGACCAAGTGACGTGATTTTTTTATACATATAATTTTCTCACTAGTTTTATATTTATTTCCTTTAGAGGATTTTACCCATGAATATTAACAGAAAAGACGATGATAGAGATAATGTTAATAAAGGCTCAGTAGATGACAATGATAAGAGAGTCAAAGACGATGATAGAGAGATTATAAGCGATAGATTAAATAAACTTGGTTGTTCATCATCTACCGATTTCGGTATTAACAAAATACAATGTTGTTTTTTTAGCTAATCAAAACATATAAACAAAATTAAGAAAAATAAATTAATGTTGTTATGAAATCTTTTTTTTCTAAAATTTTTTATTGAAAATGTTCTGAGAACTTTTTATAAAAAAAATTAACATAAAATAATTCTATCTTTTGTCAATATTTAATTAAAAAAGTAATTAATAATTATATGAGTTTAAGAAATATGCACATAGTTTTTAAAAAGTCTTACTTCGCATATTACATGATTATAAACCACATCTTTAGGTATAATACAGGAATAAATCAACCATTCTTGAAAAGTTTATATGTTTTTTGCTTAAAAATTCAATCAAAAATATAAAAAAATAGTTTTTTACTCAGAAATAAAGATTATTAAATTTTTATTT